ACATAAAAGTATAATTTCAAATTAATAAATATATAACCATAAATACATATACAAGTTTTTACAAAATAGAAATTAAAAGAAAACAATCATTAAGTACAAAAGCTCGATTGCATCTATGCTTGTACCACATGTAGCAATGAGTGTAACGCTTGTGTAACGATTAATGTTCTTAATCATTAATAAAATGGCCAAAATTCTCGAGCATTCTTGAAACTTTGAGTTTTTTTAGTAAAATTAAATTTGAATTCTTATGCTTCATTTATTTTTGTAGAACTTTGTGTTGCTATATGAATTACATTTTTTCATTTATTTATCTATATATTTATTTATTTATTTACTTACTTACTTATTTATTTCTTATCGTACTCCGTATTATATAGAGGAAATCACTCACGGTAGGACTAAAACATAGCATTATTCTTAAAGTATGATTATAGTTTGATTTTTCTTAAATAGGAATAAATATTACATATTCACCCCTAATTTAATTAATTAATTAATATATTTAATTGTCCCTAGTTCCCTTTCATAACCAAAGCCATTTTGTTGGTGACAGGTCAGTCAGTCACTCACATAATCACATTTCATAAGGAGTATTTTATGCTAGGACATAAAACTATAAATTTAAACCGAGCTTTCCAGTCCACTGGAAGCAAGGCTACCGTGTCTAGCTAAGGTCTCAGGTTCGATTCCCGTTAGACACATTTAGGGGAGAGGAGGGGGGTCTTGCTCCCAATGATTCTTCCTACCTTCACGGAGTTGCTTAGCGGCTAAGAAGGGAGGGGATGGAAAATCAGGCTCGGGTTCGCGTGGTGGGAGGACCCTTCTGGATTCAGTTGAAAGACCAAAACAACCCTTCTGCATTCAGTTGAAAGGAAGTCCTGCTGGGTTCTTCATGTAGTACTAGTACCGACGAGGCTGACTGTGATCATATCCGGATGTACCTGTCTAGAAGGCTTTGGAGGGTAGTCAATAGACTCCAGGATTAGGGGAGCGCAAGCACCGTCACCTGGATCATCAAAAAAGGCTAAAGGGTCAAATAGGCCCTTGAACTAACTTAAAGTGTTCAATTAGCCCCTTATATAGGAGGTTCTGCCCGGCCGTCGCTAATTGGGGCGGTTTCCGGTGGAATTTTTTGAACATCTTCTTCATTAAGTCTAGTTTACCCATACCAAATTTCAGCTAAAATTTCAACCGGTAAGGCAGTCAAATGATTTTCCGAAATATACTGCGCTTTTTAACTTCGCAGTTATCTTCAAAAAACATTTGACTGTCTTCTCGATTGAATTTTTAGCTGAAATTTGGTATGAGTAAACTAGACTTAATGAAGAAGATGTTCAAAAATTTTCATCAAAAATTCCTCCGGGAACCGCCCCAATTGGCGACGGGCCGGGCAGAACCTGGGACTAATTGAACACTTTAAGTCAGTTCAAGGCAGGGGCGGATCTAGGAACTTTAACTATTGGGGGCACCACTTAAAAAGAAGTAACATTTTTCTAAAAAAATTACTCTGTATAAGTGAACTTCAAAATATGAAAAAAAAAATCAATGTAAGCATAATAGAAAGAGCCCGTTTGATAATAATAAAATTGGTCGAATCAATTGATTTTTTTTTAAATTGATTAAGTTCCGATCGAAGTGGATGAATCTGTTGAATTATGAAAATAAAATTTATTTTATTAATAAAGTAAAGGAAAAATTATATGAAAAATAGCTAAAATGATCATGATAATTCTATGTTTGGATTCACCTGCCGCAATTTTTCGCCTACGATTTTTTGAGTTAAATCGAAACCAGAAGTCCACAAGGTTGGTAGGGGTTCCTTAATTAATCAAGTATTTTCATCTTATTTGATTTTTCTGGGCATTGAAAAAGTACTATGTATTCCGTAAACCCTAATACATTAACACTAGAACTTTGTCCAACATTCTCTCTTTGATTAAATGGAAGTAGTGATTTTCATTTGTAGAATTGTATGTTATATATCATTTGTTTAATCTTCCCAAATCAATAAAGTTTCAAAAATTATACTTATCATTTACGCTAAACAATTTGTCCAATTACTTGTGAGTGACTCAATAACATATTCGAAACACAAAACATAAATTATCATGAAACTCTAAGCATTAAAATAAAAACTCTCAAAACTAAAGGGTCAATTGGATGAGCCGTATGACTACATTGACTATTTGACTAGGATTTTGTGGAGTTTGCAAAATATTAATGGGGTCCTCCTGATTATTGATTGGGGGCAACACCTTTGTATAAAATATTTACACACGTATATACTCCTTGAATTGTTTACTTTAAAATCTGGTAAGTCATTGGGGGCATGTGCCCCCATTAAAACTAGAGTGCATGCGCTCCTGGTAGACCTGTCAATGGGTCGGGTCCGGGTCGTAGTGTTCCAGACCCGGACCCGCTAGGTAAATAAAGGACCCGGACCTGACCCGTTTACCCGGCGGGTCTAAAAATTTTGACCCGGACCCGGACCCAACGGGTCTCGGAACCGGGTCGGGTAGACCCTCCAAGTATCATATGCACAACATTATGTAACTTTTTTTTTACAGAACATTACATAATTTTTTAAAAATAGCAAAACATGTATATGAAATGTAAATCAAAGTGCACAAATTTAAAAGCGAAATATACCTTCACTTTTCAAAAAAATCAAGCTTTATCATAGAAAATTAGTACTTTTATCCAATAAAATATCGGTTCTTGTAGATGCGTACAATTCCGCACTTTGTGTCTCTTTCTCTCCCACAGAAAACTCGTATATTAGACTAGAAATTAGGTCACAAAAAGTTCTTTTGGACTAAAAGCATATTATATACTACGTACTATTATATTATCACTTATATATTAGGTATGTATTAATTCGTTTCTTTTTAATCAAAGAATTAAAACTAATCACTTTATACTTCGTATATATTAGTTTGTATTTTTATTTGAAGTATTATAACTAATCTCTTTGTGTATTAGTGTGTGTTTATGTACTAATAAGAAATTTTAAACGGGTACGGGTCCTTAATGGTTCGGAATCATAAGTACCATACCTGACCCGTTTATTAAAAGTACTAATGGGTCCGGGTTCAGGTCCGGGTAAACGGAATAAAATAAGGACCCATACCCGTTAAAAAAACCGGGTCCGGGTCGGGTCCGGGTCTAGACCCGACCCATTGACAGGCCTAGCCCCGACCCATTGACAGGCCTAGCCCCTGATTCAAGGGCCTATTTAAGCCTTTAACCAAAAAAACTACGGAGTATAGATTTAATTTTTCTCAATAAAAAACACCTAGAGTTGTCGTCAGTGATGACGTCACTACGGCCGCCCAAGTTGTATGGTCAATAAGGTGCTGTTCTGTTCGTCTTATTCTTATTACTTATTGCTTATTCTTATTTTATTCAGATCAGATCAGATCAGATCAGAAAAATTCAGATCAGATCAGATCAGATCAGAAAAATTCAGATCAGATCAGATCAGATCAGAAAGATTCAGATCAGATCAGATCAGATCAGAAAGATTCAGATCAGATCAGACCAGATCAGAAACATTCAGATCAGATCAGAAACATTCAGATCAGATCAGATCAGATCAGAAAAGTTCAAACATGATTATTATTATTATTATTATTATTATTATTATTATTATTATTATCATTATCATTATCATTATCATTATCATTATCATTATCATTATCATTATCATTATCATTATCATTATCATTATCATTATCATTATCATTATCATTATCATTATCATTATCATTATCATTATCATTATCATTATCATTATCATTATCATTATCATTATCATTATCATTATCATTATCATTATAATATAATATTATAATAATATAATACTAATTATAATAATAATCATATTATTATTATATTATTGTAATAATAATAATCATATTATTATTATATTATTGTAATAATAATATGAATATAATAATATCATTATTATAATATTAATTGTATTAATATTACTATTATTATATTATAATATTATAATTAATGTTAATATAATTATAATTATTATTAATTATAATTATAATAATTATAATTATACTTATAATTATAATTTATGATTATAATTATTAATATTATTATTATTACTATTGTAATTATTTTACGGAGTAATTATAATAATATTGATAACTATAGTTACAATTATAGAGATAAATATTGTAATTATAATTACAATTATAATTATATAAGTAATTATAATTAAAAATATAATTACAATTATAATTATATCTATATTTATAATTAGTGTAATAAGTATAAATTTTTTCATTTTAAATTTACTTTTAATTATTATTATTATTATTATTTTTATAGTTACGATTATAATTATAATTTTATTTAAATTATATTTGTAATTGCAATTATAATAATTATAATTATAATTATAATTATAATTATAATTATAATTATAATTATAATTACAATTATAATTATAATTATAATTATAATTATAATTATAATTATAATTATAGAAATATTCAAATCAGATCAGATCAGAAAGATTCAGATCAGATCAGAAACATTCAGATCAGATCAGACCAGATCAGAAAGATTCAGATCAGATCAGAAAGATTCAGATCAGATCAGATCAGATCAGAAAGATTCAGATCAGATCAGATCAGATCAGAAAGATTCAGATCAGATCAGATCAGAAAAATTCAGATCAGATCAGATCAGAACTTAAAAAATTCAGATCAGAAACATTCAGATCAGGCGAAGAGAACAGCTTCTAACCCATCTCTACGGTACCAAAATTTACCTGTAAAATAAAATGTTGTGCTATTGTTTTGTCTTTAGCAATTATGTGTTTGATTCATTATGATACCGGTTTGTGACGTATACACATACGTCAGCCATGACTGTACAATATCCATTCTCTCGCAGGCTTTCTAAATTCTTCCACTATAATATACGGAGGACTTCGTATATCAATCTATACTTAACTCAGATCCCTTTGCCAAGTTCCTCTCCCAATTTCAGCCATGCAAAAACCGTACACGTCGCCGTGGTCGGAGAGTAAGTCCGGCGCCACCTCGAGCGAAGGCTCGTGCGATTCCAGCACCGAAGACGGCGATTGCGCGCTTCTTGTGGCGGAAAATGCGATCGTCGTGTTTGGAAGGCGCGGCTGCTGCATGTGCTACGTCATGCAGCGGTTGCTCTTCGGCCTCGGCGCCAACCCCACCATTCACGACGTCGATGAGGAGGACGAAGTCGCGGTCACCTGCCAGCTTTCCCGGATTCTCAGATGCACGGGAGATCCCGCCGCCCAGTTGCCGCCGTTCCCGGCGGATTTCATCGGCGGGAAGCTCTTCGGTGACTTGGACAAGGTTTTGGCGGCTCATATCGCCGGCGATCTGGTGCCTTTGCTTAGAAAAGCGGGTGCTCTCTGGCTTTGATTTGACCAATATCTCATACTGTCCGATTAGTTTTTTCTTAATTGTTGTTCCTTCAATGAGATAATTCCCGAGTAAAACATGGCAAAATCAAAGGCAAAAATAGGAGTAATCATTTGAATATTCTCAAAATAGGAACCTTTTCAGCAATTAGACAAAAATACCATTGCAAATACCCACCCCACTGCAGACCACTGTCGCCTGCCAACATAGATCTCTGGCCGCCGCCGGCCGCAAGAGCTCTGCCGTCGCCAACATCCAGATTCGTGCCGCCGAGCTCTGACGATTCAAAAGAATTCCAAAACTTTTTCTGAGTTTGCCTGCCACCGCCACGGCGGTCTCCATTGCCGGACTGCCTCGTCACCAACGAACTGATCTGGTTGTCCATGAGAAATTGGGGCAATTAATTAGAATAGGGGTATTAATGGTAGAAAATTATCATTTGCTCTTATTTAATTATGGAAGAGTATGAGTGAACTCATGTTTAGAAAAAAGTGTACTGTTTACTCCTCAATAACTTTTCCTTATAATTTGTAACTTCGTAAATTACAAGTCTGTGTGTCACTGCATGAAGTCAACTAATTTTTAATTTTCATATATCCTTTGATTGATTTAATTTCCACTTAAATCATAGGAAGTATGTATGTTTGTGGCAGTGGAGGAGCTCTAGTGGTTGGCGGAAGCATATAGTGGCGGTGTATGCACTGCCAATCTTATCTCAACCCGGGCGGGCCTGAGTCAAACTTTATAAATAAGCCTTATACATTTTGCTTGTCATTTAGATTCATTAAAATTCAAGGATTAAATATCACAAAAATACATTTTTAAAATATAAGCCTTACATTATAACAAAATGACGTTGAATGTATTAAAAACTATTCAAGTAGGACTCGTCAAACTGTTTTAAATGCAAAACTATAAATCAAGTGCGCATAATCTATGTAATTAATAAATTCCTTCCCAATATATAATGTATATAATGTTGTCGGTCTAACTTTGAGTTAATGGGTATGTTTGGCAAATGGCTTATCAGCCGGCTTTTAGCTTGTTTGACCCATTTCAACTGTTTGATTGGTCAAAGAAGATAATAATGATGTTTGGTAAATGGCTTTTAAAATTAACTTGTTGAGTTTGAAAAGCTGAAAAATGGATTGTTGAAGAAGCTAAGGGGAGCAGCTTCTTCATTCGGCTAGTTCAATTTACACTCTATCAGCCATTTCGAAACAAACAATTTTACCAAACAGTTATCCATAATCAGCTAACATAACCAGCCGGTCAAAACAGCTAACACAACCTGCTATTAGGAAACAGCTGACACAACCAGCTAACAACAACCGCTAACAGCCATTTGCCAAACATACTCAATGATTCAATACACGATTTCTTTTCCCTCTTTTGAAATCCACACAAAAGATTTGAGAGGCATGGTGCTAAGAAAGAAATAAATAGGTACATAATTACTGGAATTCTTAACAATATATATTACTACGTATTAATTTTCTCTATAAAATACAAATCACACAATTTAATTAATTGTGATTTGATAATTTCATAATTGAAATAGTGATAACCCTAACAAAAAACAAGCAAGAATAAAAATGTATTTAAAAATTTACAAATTGGTCCATTCGGCATTCACACATGACAATTCACAAATCAATTATACATCACATTAGCATTTAGGCATTTAGCAAATCAAAATCTATTGTTTTATATAGTAAAACACAGTTAAAAAAAGTTGACATGTCACTCTGTTATTGGTCAACAAAAATATATATTATCACTATTTTAAAAGCATTTAATTAATTTCAACAAACCAAAATTTCAGCTCAGATCACCATCTTATCTCACGTCTAACCCACTTAAAGACACATGAAAATAGGACTCAATATACATTTAGTTACCACTAGGAATCAAATTTACGTCTATTTGTTCGATACTAAATAGGAGTCTAATTTGGATATAAATTTAATAAAGATTATTATTAATACGGCTATTAATAAATATTGAAGAAAATTTTGCATTACGAATTAATTAAAACAACTCCCAAATTGAATTAGCAACTTGACAATTCATTGAACAGAAATTGCCCTAAATAGGAGTAAAAACGTTTTGAAATTCCAAAATAGGAGTATCATGTTTTTTATTCCCTGAATAGGAGTAATCTGCCACGTTTGGGGGGAAAAATGTCATGTTTAAAGCTTTGTAATGCCAAACCTGGCAGAAATTTACTTCTATTTAGGGAATAAAAAACATGATACTCCTATTTTGGAATTTCAAAACGTTTTTACTCCTATTTAGGGAATTCTCTCATTATTGAAACGTAAGAACAACCCTTTTATTTGGAGTCTAAAAAAAACCTTTTATTTGGAGAATAAGGATGTTTTTAATTGGACTTATTTCAGACCAGATCAAACCATATCAGACCAAACCAGACCAGTTCAAATTAGACCAGATTAAATCAGACTAGATCATACCAAGAGATACTTCGACAATTGTAAAATATACATAGACCACACATTTATCAAACCAGAGTAGACTAGAAAATTTCAATTTTTATTTATTTATTTATTTATTTATTTACTAGAAAATTTCAGTTTAACTAAATATATGATGTTGCTTTGAAGTCCAAGCGAAGAAACAAATATGGAAGATCAAGTAGCCTAACTTTGACAAATACGTAGTATATACGGAGTATTAAATTAGTATATTTAATTATTTGTATAATTGTATGAGAATTTTCTCGAAATAGGAGTTAATAGGTTTTACAATTTCAAAATATGATTGTTATTTTTTTCTTTCCGAAGAATGAGTAATATGACAATTTTTACCACCATCACGACAGTAACAACTCTTATTTCGGAAATAAAAATGCAGCAGTCCGGTTTTGGAATTCTATAACATTTTTTACTTCTATTTAGCACAATGTCCCTAAACGTATCATTGTTTGGATTCCCTAAAAGTTATTCAAACCCATTTCGTTAACTTTATAAATATATAGCTTAGTAGTCATACATATAAAATTTAAAAGAGGTATTTACCTAAATAGGAGTAAATCAATTATTAATTGTCAAAATAGGACCAAAGTAAAAAAAAATCCTAAATGGGAGTTATAATCTGTAATCGGACAAAAATGCCCTTGATGCTTGGAAGGGATACTGCTGCGACCAGAAGAACACAGGACCACACTTCCTAGCTTTCGCCGGTCGCCGCCACTCGCCGCCGGTCGCCGCCGGTTTCCGAACATCACCGTCACCTCAAAAATTGGCCACCGTTGTAGATCTGGACGCCGACGATGCAGATCTGGCTAGCGTCACCGGAGATTTGGACAACTCTAGCCTCCGTCGGTCGCTGCCCCTATAGATCCGGCCACCGTCACACCATATCCGGCATCTACTGTTGCAAATCTGACCTCCTCAGTTCCAGATCTAGGCGTTGTCGGTGTGAATGCCAAGGTTTTTATCAGAATGTCATATTAATGGCATTTGCAAAGGAAAATACAAATTTTTTGAAGACAAGGAATGCCATTTTGATGGCATTTTTAGAGTTTAACTTGGCATTCTGTAGCAATCAAAGAAGAAACGGAGCATGGAGAAGAAGAATACCATCTCCGACATCGGCGATGGTGGATTTTGCGACGGCGGTGGCGGCGGACTTCGCGACGTTGGCTGCGATGGAGAAGGACAGAAGATGAGCATGTGAGGGCGGAGGTGGGCTTCACTACCGGGCTTCTAGGTTCGTTCATGGCGAAGGGGAAGGAGAGAAGATGAGGGAGAATAACATAGGCAGGGGAGGAAGATGGTGTGCGCAGGGGAGGAGATGGTTGATGGTGTTGAGAAGGGGATGAAGATGGGTCGATGGTATTGGTATGCGCAGGAGAATTAAAGGGGAAGAAAATAGGGGTAAATAGGTAAACTAGTCCTATTTGGGAATAAAATTATAAATAGTCCTATTTAGGAATTTCAGGAATAATTTAGTCCCATTTGAGGCAAAAATTCCAATTTAAAACCCCCGTACAAAATAGGTTGAAATCAGCCTAAATTTAAAAAATGCATAACAATTTTGATCATTATTAAAATTGTTAATTAATAATCGATAGAATGCATTTAAAACCCATCTAATTGACCTCAGAAATAATTGATTTAAAAAATCAGTACTGATTTAATCTAATATTTTATACAATTTGAAATTTTGAAATCACTTTCATAGACATGTTCAAACAAAAAAAGTGAAACTAAATAAGATTTAACTTCCATTGGAAATCATAAATATTTTTACAAAATGATTAGAAGCTTTCATTACTAAAGAGGGAGGGAATATAGATGAACCCTTTTCCCAAAATCATAACCAAAATAGATAATCTCTCTATAGAAATTTTTCGTGATAGTTTGGTCCATAATTTAATAACTTTATTATATATGTTAATTAATGTGATTGACTACAGCCTAAAAGCAAATAAATGAATCTTAATTAGGTGTATAGTAGAAGATAAATAATTGCTAGACACCTAATTAGTAAATTTGAATTAAGTGTAATTCAACTGATTCAAAATAAATTCTTACGGTAACCGCAACATTCTCAATCAAATGCTATCACTTTTCCTGAGACAATTAACATTTATCTCAATTTTATGAATTTGATTCATTTTATATGTATATGTAGTGTAATTTGCTAACCCACCAACAAAAAAAGTGTACCAATGTCATTTGCATATACTTCAAATTAATTAAAACAATGCGCATATTTTGAATAGCTCTAAAACTTAAATAATGATAATGATAATAATAATTGTAATTGTAATAGTAATACTGTAATAGTAACAATAACAATAAAAGTAGCAGTAGCAGTAACAGTAATGGTAACAGTAAGAGTAAGAGTAAAACTAAGAGTAAGAGTAACAATAACAGTACAGTAAGAGTCTATGTTGCACGGATACGGATACGCCGATACGCGAATACGGGTACGGCGATACGGCAATTTCAAAAATTATAGGATACGGGTACGGGGGTATATTTATAAATAATAAAAATATAGGGTATAATTTGCAAATATATATAATTCAGGGGTTCATAAATAAAATAATAATAGTACAAAAAATTAACTTTTATAATAAAATTTCAAAGATTAGTCTAAAAAAACTAAAAAAACAAAAGTACTAATATTTTGATTTAAATTCAAATAACATTTTTTTGTTCTCTATTTGCATTTACATCTATGTCTTGTTTCAATTAAAGCTCATCAAGCAATGAAATGACAAATTATAGTATTCCATTATTTTCCATACTCCCGAAACCATCTTTATCAATGTTTCACATGTTGTGATCACTTGGGCGGCTACTAAATTTTCGACATGTCGTGTATCAAATGAGGGGTTATAGGGTCAGATACGCGTATCGGTTCACGGATACGGGTATCGGAAGTATCGGTATTTTTAAAATTAAGCCCGATACTTTTATTAAATTACGGATACGGACCCAATACGTACAGGACGCGTATCGGTGAGTATCGGATACGGATACCGGGCAGTACACTGTCGCAGGGTGCACTCTCGGATACGGACCCAATACGTGCAGGACCCGGGGTAGTTACAGGTGGTATCCGAGCAACCCTG